AGGTACAATCAAAACAACTATTGTAATTGGGTTTGTGTGTCTATGAAATATCTGATAAACAAGATCAAAATTTATTGTGATCGTCCATAAAAAAACATAAAAATATTATGGGGTTGAGGAGATGCTGACTTTTGGGACAAGAGCAATTGATTCCATTAACTGAGATGACGCTGGCTGCATTTGATAACAATCATGTTTAGAAAGTGACTTGTTTCATAAATTATTTTCAAATAATTGATCAGTAGGCTTACATTATATATTGGGAGATCCAAGGTAGGCTTAAATATTTTCAAATATGGAGGGGGACGTTAGTTTTTGTTACGATGTAGGTGTGGGAGGGGGGAGGACGAGGACTATCGTGTAAAAACGTTTCAGTGTTTATGGGTGCGATCATAGTCATAAGCTTAAAAAGGCAAATCTAGATTGATTTGTGTTTTCTTGATCCTCTCTCTGCAGTCATTGGTACCCACCATACTGATGACGTTATAACATTTTGGCGAAGCAGCGAAAGTTATTTATAACATTTGTATTCATACACAATGATAGGCCTACATGTTGGATCCAAGAAAACCTTTTCATATTAAACAACTATTTATTTTTATCAGTTCTGAATGTATATGGTAATTAAGAAAAAATGACAACTGTGGTGTTTTATTTTTCTTTAGCACTTGTTGGGTACGCTTGTTTGGGCTAAAATTAATATATATTACCTACCTAATTTAATAATATACTTTTTACTGGTGAAGTAAAATAATTTTTTTTTAAAATATGATGCTGAAGTAGATTTTACATTTTTTGCAGCTCTTAATGGTCAGCAGAATTTCAAACTGCTTTACCTGAGAACTAGAGTTGTATTAAATCAGAGGCAACTTACAGGATCAGGATTCAGATTTATACTCAAGAAGCAAAAGTTCTTGAGTATAAATCTGATTCAAAATTATAGCATTTCACTAAACGTCTTCATTCCCAAAAATCTAGGTTGATTTAATATGTATATCCAATATACCATTTGTTAAAACTATTCCTCTTCCAAGACAATCTACTGCAATGAAACTCATTTTATCAATAGAAGGAAAAAACGAATACAAAGTTCCAATAAAACAGCAAATGAGTTTAGCTGAAATGTTGAGTTGTGAGAAACACGTATTTTATTAACAGAGGTACAGTCAAAACAACAATTGTAATTGGATTTGTGTTTCTATGAAATATCTGATAAACAAGATCAAGATTAAGATCTTCAATGAAAAAAACATCAAAAAATTATGGGGTTTGGGAGATTCTGACTTTTTGGACAAGAGCAATGTTTTCCAGAAATTGAGATGCCACTGGCTGCATTTGATAAGAATCATGTTTAGAAAGTGACTTTAAGTCTTTATTTCGTGTAATTAAAAGTTGTTTCATACATTATTTTCAAATAATTGATCAATAGGCTTACATTATATATTGGCAGATCACAGGTAGGCTTAAATATTTTCAAATATGGGGGGGGGGGGGGGGACACGTTAGTTTTTGTTACGATGTAGGTGTGGGAGGGGGGGGAGGACGAGGACTAACGTGTAAAAACGTTTCAGTGTTTATGGGTGACCTCATAGTCATAAGCTGAAAATGTCTGAACTAGATTGATTAAGCATATAGTGAAATAATATTGAATTATGTTGATATTAATTACGATTTAAATAGTATTGTGATAGGTTATAGCTTAGGAGCTATTTAATTGGATCTTAATTTGTACTTATTTCACACATTTAAAAAATAAGATTCAAGTTTAGTAAAAAAAAAAATATGCTTTCTTGCAACAAAGATTTGGAACCAGATTTTCATGCCTATGGTTACACAATTCTTTCACCGTGTCAGTTTAAATCTGTCATAAAAGCTCTGGAGAAAACACAAGACAAATAAAAACAGTCAAATGAAAAACAAAACTTTCCACGACTGAGACGTATATGTATATATATATATATGTATATATATATATATATATATATATATATATATATATATATATATATATATATATATATATATATATATATATATATATATATGTATGTATATATATATATATATATATATATATATATATATATTTATATATATATATATATATATATATATATATATATATATATATATATATATATATATATATATATATATATATATCAATGTGTTTGGGTTAAGGCATTTGTCGGTGCCGCAAGCGCTGCAAATTGAGTCAATTTTATTGTGCTAGTTCAATTTGTTTCAATATTCTAGATGTTTTGTAAGGATCCATATATAAAATGATTGATTAAAATAAATAATTGCTCTTCTTTCTTCATTTTGAATCTTAATTTTAGGCATTCGTGTTAAATGATTTTGCGCCATTTAGACTATTGAATCTGATTTCATCCTGCTTTTCTGTAAAAAATCAATAATATTGTTGAACTGTGTAATTTATATGTATAGCTTAGATTACCACATTTGCACAAGCCTGGCTTATCTGCCTTATATTCTTTCACAATGTTTACAAGCGGACTGCTTTTATTTTACTACTGCTATTAATTATTATATAAATACTTAAATCTGTGCTTAGAAAAAAAAGAGCAACGCTATTTTATAGTCATTCATAAACACACAACATAAAGAAAGGAAAGCAGATGCTCCTTTTGGAAGGGGGGGGGTGGAGAAGATATAAGATAATAATGAGGGGTTAATCAGTTGTTGTGGGGATATTAACTCGTCGTTTTTTGGCTTACATGTATCCATGTAATTTCATATGCTAATTGTAAAATTCAAAGTTGAGAAATGACCGACGATGACATACATCGAAATACTACTATTGCAAAAGAAAACATTAGTTGTGTTGAATATCTCTTCGACCCATTATTCAGTGTTTATAATATCTTTATATCTGGCGACACAGCTAAATGTTCTGGTATGATCCGTGTTCATGTAGCAAAAAACCAAAAGAAAAAAAAAAACTTTAAAAACAATTGTCAATGCCAGATGTTTATTTTTTCCAGAAGTTTATTTTATTCATTTTGTGTTCTGCAAGGGAGAAACATAAAACAGAGTTAATACAACATTACAGTTTTTTTTACAATCCAATATATATATAATATATATATAAATATATATATATATAAATATATATATATAAATATATATATATATATATATATATATATATATATATATATATATATATATATATATATATATATATATATATATATATATATATATATATATATATATATATATATATAAACAAATAATAAATTTCTAAACATATTGACTTTTCCATATTATTTTCTTTTTGATTTACATAGCACGCAAACTTTTGATGCGCATATTTAAACTTGTACATCATAAATCTACGATCGTTTCTAATTAAATACGTAGACAACGTTTCTTTTTGTTATAATTAGATCTTCTCAATCCGTTTTTATATTGGCCTTGGATTTTCCGGGTATTTAATAACAAACTTTTTATGTACTAATGCACTAAAAAGTAGAAAATGAATTATAGACTACGATTTAAACAACTATAAAGAAAAGCGTGGGTCACTTTAGTATCTATTGGATTACTTTACTAATGTTTAGGAAGAGACCCACGCTTTTCTTTATAGTTATTTAAATAGTAGTCTATAATTTATGTTCTACTTTTTAGTGCATTAGTACATAAAAGCTTTTTATTGAAACGTTTTTCATGAAATTTTTTTGAGTACTTTACATGTTTTTACTTACAATAGTTTCATGACTAAAAAAACATTGCGCGCCTATTTCACTTGAGGACGCACTATTGAACTTGATGACGCGAGTGGTGTGGTTCGATAGAAGTTGGTTAAAATTTTAATTCATTCATAAAAAATCAATTAGGCATCCAATTAAGTCATATTTAAAGTCATACATTAATGTTAAGCCATTGTGTTCATGTCTTGCCTAAGTACAATTAAGAACCCTATCTGTCAAGTAGAAGTAGGTGCAATTTCGCTCCGGCGTTTCGATCAATACAGACTGACGACTGACGACTGACGGCGCCCGGGGACAAACTTTCTATTTGACCCCCCTTAAACTTTCGATTTGCACCCTCCTCAGACTTTCGTTTTGCACCACTTTTGATTTGGAATTCCCCCCGCTCAAACTTTTGATTTGCACCCCTCTCAAACTCTCTATTTGCATCCCCCCCCCCCGCCATAAAACTTTCGATTTCCAACCCCCCACCCCGAAAGTTTTTTCCAAACTAATATGCCCCTCTCCCCCCCCCCCCCCCGCTACGCCTCTCCTATAAAACCTCCAGCTTGTCCGCAAACTGAAAGATAGAATAATAATAAATAATATACAATAAATAATAGGCAATATTTAAAGTATCCGTGTTTTACCTACCATATATCACCTTATCAATTCACGAATATTTTTTCGAGTACTTTAAATATTTAAAATTTACAATAATTTAATAACTAAAACCATTGCGCACCCAATGAACGTGATGACGCGTCTATAATAATGCGGAATAGTTGATTAAAATAAGAAGTAGTAATAAGTACATTCAGTGAATAAAATAAATAAAAGATTGCCTTTTATCAATCCATGCTAATTATAATTTTCAAACAATAATTTCCTCTTCCACATCCGCACAATTTGCATTCACATTTTGCTCATTATATTATTGAAACACTAATTCCTTCTAGGACGCCCGTAGATTTGCATTCACATTTTTTTATTAGCGTGAGTTAAATTTATTTTTAAATTACCTCCCTTGTCAAAATTAGAAAAAAAGTTTAATTAATTAGATTTTTCTAATCTACTGTGATTATGTTATTTAAATGTATCCACTTTTTCTGGGAATCTAAACGAAAATGATATTTGACATTAATCTTGTTAATATGTTTTAGCAGTGTGCGTGTATTTAATATTTTCTTGACGTTATGCGAAAGAGTAAAAACAATGGCATTTATAAAATAACCTTATGTCGTTATATAAAAAACACTTCTCACTCATAATAAGACACTGCGGTGCAATGAAAAGCACAGCATGGTGCGATGTTAACGTTTATGGTTCCAAAATCTATAGCGATGACAGAAGGATGGACGGCTAAGGTGTGGAGTGCTTAATTTTAGAGAAAATGATATTGTTGTTCTTTGTTTACAGCCTATTTTCAGAGTAAATATAGGAAAGTTCGAAATGTATGACTAAAATGGAATTAGAACTACAGAGGTTCCATGAACAGTATGTCTCATAATTTATATTACATTGACTTTTAAAATGAATTAACTTATTTAATTAGGATACGTAGCTTAATTAACAACTTAATTTTTTACTGAAACAAATGCTATACTTCGTCATTTTCTGTTTATGTTTAAAATAGTATACAATTGTTTGAAAAATAATTATTTTAAAAAAGTTACCTCCGAAGTATGTCTTTGTTTACTTTTGTTTTACAAACAATTGTTTATAAGAAAATACTTCATCTTGACAAATCTAACGACCCTAAGGGTGTCTAAGGGTGTTTTCGACGATAATAATGTTTTTTCGTTATTCTTCGGGGTAGATCTACGACCTCACAAAATATTAGGGAGATCGTTCGTCAATCTAAATCTATAATAGGCCACGTTCGCACTTCTCTCTCTCTCTCTGTCTGTCCGCAAAATATTTTCGCCGGACATCACATCAGAATCTACAGCGATATATCGAGAACTTTTTACGGACTTTTGTTGAAAATAATATGTTAGATGTTTTAAATGTGTAACCATAATTTTATTTAAAGAAGAAAAATAAAAAAAATAAAGGCGTATTCGAATATAGAAAAACAGTATTATTTATGCAACCGGAAAAGTGTATAAACTTGGGACAAGAACGCATTTAACAATGATGTCGCTTATTGTTTACACTAAAACACTAAAACAAGAGCACGAAACTGATTACGTCATCTTCCGAGTTTAGAATTTTAAAAAATGAACTATTTCATTCAAATATGATTTAGAGCTTTGTACGCTATGAAATGTAGACTACACAATACGATATTCTCGGCCTAAACTTAAAAAAAAAATATTTTATCTATTTGGATTCTAGATCTAGAGATTCTAGATCTAGACTAGATCTAAATCTACGCAAAAACTACACTTAGATGCTACGTCGCTAAGATCTATTCTAGATCTAGATTTAGACTCTATCTACTGTAGAATCTATTCCAAAAATAAATTTCTATAATAAACTTTTTCAGGACTTAAATATTTTATAGAAATCTGTGTTTGTTTAGCAATGAAACTGGCTAATTTTGGGTAAAAAAAATAATTTGAAAAAATAGGCATATTCGTGTAAGTTATTTTTTAAAACTCTTCTTTTATTCTCCATATTTTAAAAGGTACCTAATTAGCTGAGATGGTAGTGTACTTGATACCAGACAGGTGGTGCTGGATCGAGACACACCAAGTCAAACCTATTTTTTTTAAATATGTGAATCTTCCTATTTTAGACTATAAAGAAAGGAACTACTTTGGAAATCTTTGTTTATCTATGCAATTTGCTAATCTCTATAATATATGAAGCAAAGTTGTTGGGTGCCCGACATCGGGCACTTCCCGGCGCCGCAGGCGCTTCAAATTTGGCAGGATTTTGCCTTGGGGCGACAGAACACGGGGGCCGGTTGGCCGAAAAGTCTACGATGTGGGGGTCAAAACTGACCTCGACTGACCGGCGCCTTATATGAGCTATAAATCGAAAAAAAATGTCCACGGAGGAACCTCTTCATAACTCCTGAGGTCGTAGACCGACCCTAGGGCAAATTAATTAAGCATTCAAATCCTCAATGTTTTCGAAAGCCTAAGCGAAGCTGGGCAGCATGCCTAGTTTATTTATATATATCTTAGATAATGAGAATTTAACTCGCGGTCACTTTTTAGCCCTCGTCGAGTGATTTGAGTCAGACCAACAGTTTTTCCATTCCGCCTAATCAACTATAGAGGTGCAAGCAAAAAAATGGAAATATAAAACGAGGTTGAATATCCTAAACTTTATGTTGAAATTACCCTGTTTTTCCCATAAAATACAAAGATTATATAGGAAAATACGACTGGTCAGTTTTGACCCATTTACAGATTTTTTTCCGCAAATGGCGAGTTTTTTCTGAAACCATTAGGTGTTCTCCTACCACTTCACAAAATATCAAGGGGGTCGTTTGGCAAGAAATCTTTTCGTAATAGAGCTCATTTAAAGAGAATTTCACTCGAGGTCCCGTTTTAGCCCTCGTCGAGGGCTTTGAATCAAACCGACAGATTTTCCTACAGGCCAAGCCATTTACCTAGGAGCATGCAAAAAATTAGCCAGATATACTGAATTTAAGTACCCTAAAATCCGCGATGAAATGACCCTCTGTTTTTCCCATAAAATACAAAGATAATATAGGGAAATACAACTGGTAAGTTTTGACCCCTTTACGAAGTTTTCCCAGATATGCCGAGTTTTTTCTGACACCCCTATGTGTTCTCCTACCACCTCAGAAAATTTGAAAGGGTGTCGTCAAACGAAAGTTGTTTTTTTTTGTAATAGAGGCTATATAAGGTGCCGGTCAGTCGAGGTCAGTTTTGACCCCCTCTTCGTGGAATTTTCGACCAAACGTCACCGGCCCTTTTGCCCGTGTTCTTTTGCCCCAAGGTACCATCCTGCCAATTTTGACGCGCCTACGGCGCCGAGAAGGGCCCTATTGGGCAACTGACCATTTTGCTTTTATATATATATATATATATATATATATATATATATATATATATATATATATATATATATATATATATATATATATATATATATATACATACAAATAATAAATTTCTAAACACATATGTAAACCATATTATTTACTTTTCTCATTTATATAGCACGAAAACTTTTACTTCGCATATTTAAACGTGTACATCATAAATCTACCTTTTTTAAAAAAACTCAGTATATTGACAACGTTTTTATTTGTTATAATTTGATCTTCACAATCCGTTTAATAAATCGAAATTGTAAAGATTTGCTGAGTAAGTTATTGTATGCAATTTGTTTTTAATCGTTTTAAAAGTGTATAAATAATAAAAGATCAGGTAAATTTAAATCGAGAGTAAAAAGAGAGAGTGCTGAATTTGTTGATTAATAATTGTGTTATGCTTGTACCTATATGCAGAAGTGACGCAAACAATGTTAATAGTGAAAGTGGCGGCAAGGATTCACGAAAATGAGGTGTATGTCAATAATATCAGACTGGCATGCAGCGAATATTTTTTTTTAAATTTTAAAACATTCTGTTAACATGGTAGTTGGTTAGCTTGCACATATGTGCTCAGGGGATGGGTGAAGAAAGGCGAATAATATATTAGGGCCTGGGTTTGGGAGGTAAGTGGTGTGGGGATGAGGTGCGGCACATATGAACGGGTTTTTCTGAGCCCGGGTGTGTAGCCGTTGTGTGTGTGTGTGTGTAAACATGATTTTAAGTGAACGTGGGTATTCGGATTGGCCATGGATTTTCCTGGGTATTTTTGACGAGCTATTATGCCATTCAAATTTCAGAAAGTCTTAGGTATAACAAGATAGTGTTTAGAAGAAACATACAAACGAAAGTATAACTAAATTTATGTTTAAAAATGTATTTATAAACTTACAGAAACAACCCCAACGCAACGTATTATTTTACAGCGCCCTACAACATACTTTACTTTTTATTTTCTACCATTTGCAACACATCTTTTTTGTCCGGCACTAAAAAAAGAAAAGAACAGTAATAACAATAATTAGTGGTGGTTTTGATTATTGAAATAATGTTTATAAACAGTTTTTCCCGTGTCGCTGTTATACATTTAACACCTATAGCTATAGTTTTCTAAATATTCCTAAATTCTGTAGCTCAATTTGAGGAAGTTTAACGGAAGTGGAAACTACTTTCGGTTTCTTAAAAGTTTATAACTTGCATACTGATTCAGCCCGATGGAAGACATTTCATAAATTAGTATTAGATGGTAAACGAAGAATTATTTCAACTTTTTAACGATTTTCTGTTTGTGAAAGTGACCCTTTAATCTTTTTCAAGCTATATAGACGAAATTCATATACATGTGCAAGATAAAAAAAACATTGTGGCAATGTATGGTTCTCTTAAACATTTGCATAACTTGTTCTGAAATACAGCTGTGGTATCATACTTTGTTCTAGTCCGACAACAACGACTATATTATTTTTAAGGTTTAACAAAACGTTATTATTGTAAATACCACAGACTTGGAAATACATTTTTCTGTTAATTTCTAATTGAGCTGAGGAAAAATAAACGTTAGGATCAATCAAATTCACTTAAAAAATATATTTTTATAATAACAATGTAACTTATAATTTCAATGATTTAAACAAATTTCCGTACCCATATCGGTGACAAACATATGATGTGCAACAATCTTTATGGGTTGAACAGCCTCCACTATATGTGCAACAACTGTTTGATTGAAAATAAAACGTAAATATTAAATATATGTATGTGTATGTGTATGTGTATGTGTATGTGTATGTGTATGTGTATGTGTATGTGTATGTGTATGTGTATGTGTATGTGTATGTGTATGTGTATGTGTATGTGTATGTGTATGTGTATGTGTATGTGTATGTGTATGTGTATATGTATGTGTATGTGTATGTGTATGTGTATGTGTATGTGTATGTGTATGTGTATGTGTATGTGTATGTGTATGTGTATGTGTATGTGTATGTGTATGTGTATGTGTATGTGTATGTGTATGTGTATGTGTATGTGTATGTGTATGTGTATGTGTATGTGTATGTGTAAGTGTATGTGTATGTGTATGTGTATGTGTATGTGTATGTGTATGTGTATGTGTATGTGTATGTGTATGTGTATGTGTATGTGTATGTGTATGTGTATGTGTATGTGTATGTGTATGTGTATGTGTATGTGTATGTGTATGTGTATGTGTATGTGTATGTGTATGTGTATGTGTATGTGTATGTGTATGTGTATGTGTATGTGTATAGGCATAGGCATAGGCATAGGCATAGGCATAGTCATAGGCATAGGCATAGGCATAGGCATAGGCATAGGCATAGGCATAGGCATAGGCATAGGCATAGGCATAGGCATAGGCATAGGCATAGGCATAGGCATAGGCATAGGCATAGGCATAGGCATAGGCATAGGCATAGGCATAGGCATAGGCATAGGCATAGGCATAGGCATAGGCATAGGCATAGGCATAGGCATAGGCATAGGCATAGGCATAGGCATAGGCATAGGCATAGGCATAGGCATAGGCATAGGCATAGGCATAGGCATAGGCATAGGCATAGGCATAGGCATAGGCATAGGCATAGGCATAGGCATAGGCATAGGCATAGGCATAGGCATAGCTATAGGTATAGGTATAGGTATAGGTATAGGTATAGGTATAGGTATAGGTATAGGTATAGGTATAGGTATAGGTATAGGTATAGGTATAGGTATAGGTATAGGTATAGGTATAGGTATAGGTATAGGTATAGGTATAGGTATAGGTATAGGTATAGGTATAGGTATAGGTATAGGTATAGGTATAGGTATAGGTATAGGTATAGGTATAGGTATAGGTATAGGTATAGGTATAGGTATAGGTATAGGTATAGGTATAGGTATAGGTATAGGTATAGGTATAGGTATAGGTATAGGTATAGGTATAGGTATAGGTATAGGTATAGGTATAGGTATAGGTATAGGTATAGGTATAGGTATAGGTATAGGTATAGGTATAGGTATAGGTATAGGTATAGGTATAGGTATAGGTATAGGTATAGGTATAGGTATAGGTATAGGTATAGGTATAGGTATAGGTATAGGTATAGGTATAGGTATAGGTATCGGAATAGGTATCGGAATAGGTATCGGAATAGGTATCGGAATAGGTATCGGAATAGGTATCGGAATAGGTATCGGAATAGGAATAAGAAATAGGAATAGGAATAGGAATAGGAATAGGAATAGGAATAGGAATAGGAATAGGAATAGGAATAGGAATAGGAATAGGAATAGGAATAGGAATAGGAATAGGAATAGGAATAGGAATAGGAATAGGAATAGGAATAGGAATAGGAATAGGAATAGGAATAGGAATAGGAATAGGAATAGGAATAGGAATAGGAATAGGAATAGGAATAGGAATAGGAATAGGAATAGGAATAGGAATAGGAATAGGAATAGGAATAGGAATAGGAATAGGAATAGGAATAGGAATAGGAATAGGAATAGGAATAGGAATAGGAATAGGAATAGGAATAGGAATAGGAATAGGAATAGGAATAGGAATAGGAATAGGAATAGGAACAGGAACAGGAACAGGAACAGGAACACGAAAACACGAACACGAACACGAACACGAACACAAACACGAACACGAACACGAACACGAACACGAATACGAATACGAATACGAATACGAATACGAATACGAATACGAATACGAATATGAATATTATTTTAAAATATACATATTACCTATATAAATATCTATCTATATACATGTATGTAAGTATATATATATATATATATATATATATATATATATATATATATATATATATATATATATAATAAATGTTTATGTATTTTATAGGAAGGCGTATTTAATTTACGTTCGACTCTGTGCATAAACAATGAATTCTAATTTCAATACATAGTTTTAAGTACCATCCTATTTAGTAAAGATAGTTCTAGTAGACTCACCTGTCTGTTTCAACAAAGAGATTTGCCATACACACCAGAAGAAGAAAAAATGCGAACTTCATTTTAATCAGCTCAGTAAATCTAAAATAAAAATCTTAAATATAGTTTTGCGTTTATACAAATGTTTCATCGAAGTTATTATGTATCAACTATTGAATTAATGTACTTATTCCATTCTAAACCGATTACACATTTTACAAAGCCAGTTAAAATACATTGTAAATATCATACTGCAAAACTATTATTACTTTTTTGCATAGAAATAATGCATGAGTGATCACTTCTAAACTTTCTCAAATATTCTTTAAAAAATCTAATATGGAAGGAAAGTAGAATAAGTTCCACTTCCATTTACCGAAAATTGCTAAAAAGTGGACACAGAACAACACATTTGATATAATACTTATATACGAAATGTTGTCAACCTCGTTGTAAATACATACACACACAAACAGACATACAGACAAAATTGCAAAATTAAGTTTTTCCTACTCAGGGAGGTCTAAATCGTCGAGATTTTTGAATACTCTGTTTCGTTTTTTGCCCTTATGCAATACTTCCTCTAAACTCTATATACGAGAGAGTAAAAATATGTAAACATTAAATTTTAAAAAAAATATTAATTTAACTTTTTCAAAACCAAAAATTAAATACATTTTATAATGCTAGATGAAATATATTGTACATGTCACGTGTTCAATTTATTTTTAATTATAATTTATACTTAGAAAATATGTAAACATGAATATATTTTATTGATGCAAATATATTATCTGTAACAAACTATTTACTACAAAGCTAACTTAAAAGCTAACTAATGTATGTCTTACAGAATACACGAGTAGTTTAAATGATGACCGTACATTGAATAGACATTTTATACATGCACGTTTTCTAACGTGGATGATTTCGATTGGCTAGTATTCACAACTCTAGTCTTTAAACAAAACAAAAGTATAAGATTATATTTAAACTTTTAACGAGTTTTCAGCAGATTAGTAATATTATAGTTGAGCAATGAGTGGAGTTTGTCATATTAAATCCAGGCTTCGAAATGAAAGAATACCATAAGTTAGATATATTTTTCCACCATTTGTGTTGGGAGAGGGCGCCTAATACATGGGCAACATCTGGCTCTTCTCATCTTACCACTCTGACATTGTGCTTGGATTTCCTATCCTCTATCTCTAAATGTTCGATAAGTCTTCTGAACCACGTTTAGAATTTCATGATGGGTGCGGTTTGTAAAATGTATATAGATTTACATTTGATACGAAACATGTGGTACATGCGTATCAACATGTTATGCGCTCAGTCGCACCTACATAAATAAAATGAAAAATCATGCACTAAAACATTGAAAATAATGATTTTCTTTAAATATATAATATTACACTATTAGCTGAGCTAATCTAAGCTAATCTAAGGTAACGTAATATAAGCTAAGCAAATCTAGAGCTCAATGGCATAGGCCCGAATGTATCGGATTCCCGTTGACTGGAAAGAAGCGCAAACGGAAAAAAAGCGCAAATAGAAAAAAGCGCAACGGAAAATGCGCTACGGAAAAAGCGCAAAAAAAAACGCAAACAGAAAAAAGCACACACAAAAAAGTGTGCCCATCGAAACATGCGCAAAGAGAAATTTTAGCATAAAGATTTCTTTACGGACTATATGACACCTTTATACGTGATTGTTAGGGCTGCTGTGAGAGGGTCGTGTTTGACCTGACGCGATCTACTACCATTTAAAGAATACCACTACCATGTGCATTCATATCACCACGATACACCACGATACAGGCGATAATTGCTTGAGCTACGCCAATTATTTTCTTGTTCACTATTTATTCAAATACTATTCTCATATAAATAAACATAAATCTATCCTTGATATTGGCATTACACGGAGTATCTATTACATTCTCCCTAGTCCGAACTTCCAAGCCTGCATACTATATTAACCAGTTCCTATCGCAAAACTTCACTTTCTTTCTTCAGCGTCATCAAACATGCATTCGCTATATCTCTCGCACCAACATTCACTCGCACCAAAATATCATGATAAAACACACATCATAATTATTATGTATTTAATATTATTTCATCATGATAACCTACCTACCTACCTACCTACCTACCTACCTACCTACCTACCTACCTACCTACCTACCTACCTACCTACCTACCTACCTACCTACCTAACTACCTACCTACCTACCTACCTACCTACCTACCTACCTACCTACCTACCTACCTACCTACCTACCTAACTACATGCAAAAGAAGAAGTTAAAAACTAACCATCTCACTGTTTTGAAAACGTAATTTACAGCCTTCTTTAACAGTGGTCAGATTTGACAGAAATTGGCCTAAAACAGCATATGTGTTGGATCCAATGTGTTATGACTGGGATTTGCATAGGATAGAGGACTAGGGTAGAATATCGTTTAATTCCTAATTATATCGATGTCCTCACTATTATATTGTTTAACTGCAGGTAAGTTAGATAATAATAGTTGTAATAGGAATAGCCTTTAGTGTGTCCGACTGAACGTCCACTTACTAGATGAAGCTTTTAGATTGTAATTACGGATGACAGCCATGTTGACCTGTGTAACCGTGGTGGAGACAGTATGGCGACAAATTTGGGGAAAAACTAGGAGGTTATCAGCAGGGTCTGGCATTTTAATTAGGTACGACAGAACTGTGGCGACATGTACAGGTTAGGCTTAGTGGGGGAAAACTAAGAAGCTAGGAACTGTGAGGGTTACAGGAAAGTTGAACGTTAGCCTTATGAGGGTGTTGTCGTGTTTTGTTTTGTAAAGTGTGGTAGGGGGTGGGCCCTAAGACGTGACATTATTGATTACCATGTTTATTTCTTGGTTTAGACAAGACCAACAGTATCAATCGTTAAAGTGAATTAGCTGATGTTGTGTTTGTGTTTTCTTGAACCTCTCACTGCAGTCATTAGTACCAACCATACTTATGACGTCATAACATTTTGGCGGTGCAGCGAAAGATATTCATAACATTTTTATCCATAACACAAGGATAGGCCTACATGTTGGATCCAACAAAACCTTTTCATATTGAACAACTATTTATTTGTATCAGTTATGAATGTATATGGTAATTTCTAAAAAAAAGAAAAATTTGAAGTGGTTTATTTTTCTTTAGCACTTATTTGGGCCAAAAGTAATATATATTACCTGCCTAATTTAATAATATACTTTTTACTGCTGAAGTAAAAATAATTTTTTAAAAATATGATGCTAAAGTAGATTTCACCTTTTTTTACGGTCAGCACAATTTCAAACTGCATTTACTCTAGTCTACATGACCAGACTTTTAGAATTGTGTTAAATCAGAGGCAACTTACAGGATCAAGAATCAGATTTATACTCAAGAAGCAAAAGATCTTGAGTACAAATCTGATTCACAATTATAAAGTTTCATTAAACGTCTTCAGTTTAATAAAACTTGGTTGATTTAATATAAATATCTAATATATCATTTGTTAAAATTATTCCTCGTCCAAAACATAGGTACAATCAAAACGACTATTGTAATTGGATTTGTGTGTCTATGAAATATCTGATAAACAAGATCAAAATTTATTGTGATCGTCAATAAAAAACATCAAGATATTATGGTGTTTGGGAGATTCTGACTTTTGGGACATGAGCGATGGGTTCCAGAAACTGAGATGACACTGGCTGCATTTGATAACAATCATGTTTAGAAAGTGACTTTAAGTGTTATTAAAAGTTGTTTCATAAATTATTTTTAAATAATTAATCAATAGGCTTACAAAATAAATAATATTGCTGAACTGTGTAATTTATATGTATAGCTGAGGTTACCACATTTGCACAAGGCTGACTTATCTACCTTATATTGACATTCCTTCACATTGTTTTCAAGTGGACTGCTTTTTTTTTGCAACTGCTATTTATTATTATATAAATAATTAAATCTGTACCTAGAAAAAAAAGAGCAATCGCCATTTTATAGTCATCCATAAACTCGCAACATAAAGAAAGTAAAGCATATATTTTTTGGGGGATGTGGGGGGAGGTGGAGAAGATATAACAGAATTATTAGGGGGTTAACCAGTTGTTGTGGGGATATGACCTCGTCGTTTTTCTGGCTTAAAGTTATCTATGTAATTTTATTTGCTAATTATTAAATTCAAAGTTGAGAAATGACCGACGATGACATACATCGCAATACTACTATTGCAAAAGAAAACATTAGTTGTGTTGAATATCTCTTCGACCCATTTGTCAGCGTTTATAATATTTTTATATCTAGCGACACAGCTAAATGTTCTGGTATGATCCGCGTTCATGTAGTAAAAACCAAAGGAAAAAAATAACTTTAAAAACATTGTCAATGCTAGATGTTTATTTTTTTCAGAAGTTTTTTTTTTATTCATTTTGTGTTCTGCAAGGGAAAAACATAAAACAGAGATAAAAAAGCATTGCAGTTTTATTTACAAACCAATATATATATATATATATATATATATATATATATATATATATATATATATATATATATATATATATATATATATATATATATATATATATATATACTAGGCATGCTGCCCAGCTTCGCTTAGGCTTTCAAAAACATTGAGAATTTGAATGCTTAATAAATTCGCCCGAGGGTCGGTCTACGTTATGAAGAGGTTCCTACGTGGGCATTTTTTTCGATTTATAGCTCATATAATGCGCAGGTCAGTCGAGGTCAGTTTTGACCCCCTCATCGTTGACTTTTCGGCTAACCGGCCCCCGTGTTCTGTCGCCCCAAGGCAAGATCCTGCCAAATTTGAAGCGCCTGCTGCGCCGGGAAGTGCCCTATCGGGCACCCGAAAACTTTGCTTTATATATTAAAGAGATAAGCAAATTGCATAGATAAACAAAGATTTCAATAAAGTAATTAAGGCCTGAAATACTTCAGTATAGAAAAGTATTATTTCAATAGATTCTAGATCTAGGTAGGGTCTACATCTGTGTAAGTCTAGTTTTTCCTTAGATCTAGATCAGATCTAGATCTAGAATCTCTAAATCTAGGATCCTAATAGAATTTTTTTTTAGTTTAGCCCGAGCAAAATTGTATTGTATAAATTTTATAGCGTACGTAGATCTAAATCAAATTTGAATGAAATAGTTCATTTCTTTTTATTCTAAACACGGCAGATGACTTTTTTTTCAATTGTCCAGATTTTCATTATCTTAAAACATAACCATCTGTCCCTTTCTTTTCTTGTCTCCTCCTAACTCAAAGTGTTAGCAGCGCTTGATTGGTAATTGTTTCCTATATTTACATTCAGTGCACTCCATACGAAGGACAATTTTTCTGGTGGTTTTAGCCTTCTTTTTTAAATTTGGCTTGGACTGACCACCATAACCGCTCTGCTTTCTGTCATAACGTCTTTTACCTTGGGCATACAAAGAAGCCTTTCCTGCTTTGTACTGAGTAACTTTCTGTATTGTGTGCTTTTTGCATTTCTTGCTCTTGCAGAAGGTTCGTCTTTGTTTTGGAATGTTCACCATTTTGAAGTTTACTCGGAATGGATAAACATGAGTGACGTCACTGTTTTATGCATTCTTTTTCACAACTATAAACGCTTTTCCTGTTGCATAATTAAAACTGTTTCTCTACATTCTAGTACGCCTTTATTTTTTATTTTTCTTCTTTAAATAAAATTGTGGTTATACATTTAAAACATCTAACATATTATTTTCAACAAAAGTCCGTATAAAGGTATCCACATATCGCTGCTGATTCTGACGTGATATCCGGCGAAAATATTTTGCAGACAGACAGAGAGAGAGAGAGAGAGAGAGAGAGAAGTGCGCACATGGGCTATTATATATTAGAATATATATATATATATATATATATATATATATATATATATATATATATATATATATATATATATATATAGGCCTATATACAAATAATAAATTTCTAAACATACGGACTGTTCCATTTACTTTTATAATTTACATAGCACGCAAACTTTTGATGCGCATATTTAAACTTGTACATCATAAATCTATGATTGTTTTTAATTCAGTAGAAAACATTTCTTCTTGTTATAATTTTATCTTCGTAATCGTTTTAGAAATCGAAATTGCAAAGATTTGCTGAGTAAATTAATGTGTGCAATTTGTTTTCGATCGTTTTAAAAGTGTGTAAATAATAAAAGAGAAGGTAAATTTGATGAGAAAGTAATGAGAACGGGTGCTAAATTTGTTGATTAATATAGTGTTGTATGTGTACATATATGTAGAATTGACGCAAACAATGATAATAGTGAAAGTGTTGGCAAGGATCCACGAAAATGAGGTGTATGTTAGTATTATCAGACTGGCATGCAGCGAATAGTTTTGTTTTAAATTTAAACAGTCTGTTAACATACTCATGTGATGGGCGAATAAAGGCGGATTATATATTAGGCCCTTGGAATGGACGGTTAATATGAACGGGCTGCTCTGAGCCCGGGGTTGTAGCCTGTGTGGTGTGGTTTTGATTTTAAGTGAACGTGGGTATTCGGATTGGCCTTGGATTTTCTGTGTATCTTTGACCAGCTGTTATGCCATTTAGATTTCAGAGTTTTATGTATTATAAGTTTGTGTTTAGAAGAAACATAAAAGCGAAAATATAACTATATGTATGTTTAAAAATTGGTTTATAAATTTATAAAAAAACATCCCGAAAGCTACGTATTATTTTTCAGCGCCCTATAACATACTTCATTTTTTATTTTCCATGTGGAATACATCTTCTGCTCTTCAAACTAAAAAAAAAAGAAAAGAACAGTAATATCAACAATAAGTGATAAAGGTCTTAATTATTGGAATAATGTTTAGTTAAAAACAGTTTTTCCAGTGTCGCTGTTATACATTTAACACCTCTATCTATAGTTTTCCAAATATTCTTGGGTTCTGTAGCTCAATATTGGTATAAACGCTATTTGATTACCGAGTATAGAAAATCTGTTTCAATCAAGAAAAAAATAGTTTTCGATTTTTTTTAACACCCTATACATTTCTGGGTAAAAAAAACGAGTTTTGCGTTCGAATGTCTGAGAGACATGATAACCTGGGTAACGTTTTTGTCATATTGACATTGTCTCATATACAATAATAATATATAATATGGCCCATAATTTTTTTTTAGCGAATTCCGTTTAACGAAAGTGGAAACTACTTCCGGTTTCTTAAAATTCTCTAACTTGTATACCAATTCAGCCTGATAGAAGACATTTCATAAATTAGTATTAGATTGTAAACGAAGAATTATTTCAACTTTTAAACGATTCTCACTTCGTGAAATTGGCCCTTTAAATTATTTTCATGCTAGGTTGACAAAATTCATATACATGTGAAAGATAAAAAACCTAGGTGATACTATATGTTTCTCTTGAACTTTTGGAATAACTTGTTCTGAAATACAGCTGTGGTGTCATACGTTGTTCTAGTCCGACAACAACGACTATGTTATTTAAACGAATACAGGCTTAAACATATATTTTTGTGTCAATTTCTAATTGAAGATGAATAAAAAAAAACCTTAGGGACCATCTAATTCCTTAAAAAATGTTATATTGAAAATGTAACTCATAATTTTAATGACTGAAAACAATATTCCGTACTTAATATAGGCGCAAAAATGAAATAGGCAACAATCACTATTCTTCGAACAGCGTCCACTTTTCATGCAACAACTGTTTGATAAAAAAGAAAACGTAGGTATTATATATAACTATATTTATATTAATATCTATAATCTATATCTATATCCATTTCATCGATATCATCTATATCTAAATCTATTTCTGTGTCTGTATCTGTGTCTGCGTCTGTGCCTTTGTTGTTGCCTACGTCTACGCCTATGTCTACATCTACATCTACATTTATATTTCAAATAAATGGTTATTGTCTTAATCCTATTTAATAAAGATAGTTTAATTTAACTGACCTGTCTGAAAAATCACAAAATTTTGCAATACACACCAGAAGAAGGAGAACTGCGATTTTCATTCTTAATCAGCGTAGTAAAACTAAAATAAAATCATGTTGTTTCTCAAACTTAAAATAGTTTTGAGTTGATACACATAATATAGAAAAGAAATCAATTATTGAACATCTTACTTAGCAACATAACAAATGGTTAATACATTTAATATTGCCTATATATTGTAAATATATTTTTACTTTTAATTTATACAATAAAATATATATAAACATGAAAACTTTTTGTTAATGCAAATAAAAGTGTAAGATCTATAATAATTTATTAACAACAAAGCTATGATGTATACAATGATGTATGTCTTACAGAATATAGATCGTTTGTATGAAGTAAAGCATAATATGAATACTATAAGTATAGGTTTCCTCTAAGCAAAAGTAATTAGTTTTTTGTTTGTTTCGTTATATGAGAGAATATAACACAGAACAATAAACCTAACTCGAACTCTATAAGTAAAATACAAACACAAATGCAAACCTAACGCTAACACAAACGCAAACCAAAATACAAACGGCGCCCGGGTAAGGGGGTTGCGATTTTCGTCAATACACAATTTGGCGACCAGAGTTCCAGAGCGACTATGTTAGCAACGGACATCCTTTAATCGTGCGTCCTTCATAGCGGGTAAGGGGTACTAATATATTCAGCTTTAAAACTTCAACAGGCGCAAACGACTGCGCCCCGTTGATTGGACGAACAGAAGTGCCTCGTGCTCCCTCGCAAGCACTATGACGCATACGTTCGTTTTAAAAGGGCTATACTATAAATACACAATGGGCAACAATAATCGTTGACTGTATTAAACTAGGCGCGTCCCCCGAAGAAATCTGCATAATTGTTTCAGAATGCTATTTGGCGCTCTGACTTATCCTGTGAGCACTATGGCGCTATTACGCGGCACCTCTGCCTTAAAAAATGATCTGCAAGCAGAATACTTTTAAAACGGTATGTTTAGAAGATATACTTTTACCGGGAAATCATTAAAATAAAACATATTTTAGATTGTATACTAAACAATGTACCATCATTTTACCTTTCTATTTCTTAACTATTCCTTTAGCCACTAAACCACTATAAGAAGTTCGCTATTCTGTCTGTCTTTCTGTCTGTTTACCCAGAACGTACTAGCGAAAACACATGGACATTTAAAAGTTGCACAGCGAACGACCTTGATGTAACGTTATATTTAAGACATTTTCAAAACGAAGCGATATATGTACAATTTTAAAGCCGGAGATCTACACATGTCGGCATGATTCTAGAGTATACATAATTAAAAGTTCAAAGGTAGAGGGTGATAGATACATGGGCAACATCTGGCTCATACAATTTTACCAACCAGGGGCTTTGTGCTAGGATTTCTAATGCGCAATCATCTAACGATCGATAAGACTTCTGAGCCATGATTAAAATTGTTACATTATGTTTTTCTATGGTTGACTGGTTAACGAGATGCTAATCGTTTAATAACTAATGCAGGGTGATATTTGTAAATTTCAAAGGACGCATAAAGTGCGCCATATTGTTTTAAAATATTTTGGACAACGGCTGTAACGTTTACCTATCTACCAGCCAGATAGAAGGTGAACGTCCCCGGATTCTTTTTTCGGGGTTATATGCAAATGACTTACAGCCTAAATGAATGAACACTAACTCAACAACACACTAGGGCTCGAATTCGACGTCTAGGGAACTAGTGATACTATTGAAGTTAAAACTCATCCAATCTGCATACAACCTTTAATAAGCGAACACAGTTGTGGCAGAACACAAGGTTAAACTAGATAAAATATTTAATTTATAAAATGACAAAACCCAACTTACAAAGCGTAAGAAAAAACACTATCACAGATTTCAACACTGTATAAAAATAGCCACAGGTCACACAACACTGCTATAGCTTCAAGAATCACTTGGCGACAAGTAATTTTATACTAGAAGACTAAAACAACTTAAGAAAGCATAACACACTCAGGACTTAAGTTCTCTCACGTTCAAATGGTCAGAATCTATTGCCGGACAAAATGGTCGGCCTGGTCTTAATAGACCGTTTGATCAAGGTAGACTGCCACGTGTTGCGAATGTGCGGTGCAGTTAAAGACTTATGCAACAGGGGAGGTTATCCTCAACTCATGTAGCCATTGGATGGGATGGTCATCTGATCAGAATCAATCAATCAGATCTTGATGGAAAATTTCTGGGTCCTAGACACCCTTAATAAGAAAGTGGAAAAACCCCGGTAGTTGCACCATCAATCCATATAAGGTATTATACAATGTCAAAATAAAAATGGAACATGACTCGACCTAAGTAGGTCACACGGCAATGATCAGCGGCAAAGTTCATGTGTAACAGGTGGTATTGAATAGCGGGTAGTGTGGTGTAGATGTGGATGTGCATGAAGTGTTAGATGATGTTGATGATGCGCAGTTTGGTTTTTGATATGGGTGGCATTGTTTTCAGCTGTTGATGTGGGTGGCCTTAGTATGGTTTGGAAGAATAAAGCGGTGTAGACTAATGAGAGTACATGGTGTTATGTGTTGTTGATGTGGATGGCATGTAGTGTGGTGTGGATGTTGATGATGTATAAAGCGATATAGACTTAGAAGAGTAGATTGTGTTCTTTATGCGCCTATCAAAGAGATGCCTAAAAGAAACTCTGCATGCAGACCACTTTAAAAATGGTAATTTTAGAATATATACTTTTACTCACCAAAAAATTAAATCCCCACCCTCCCTCAGAAAATATGGAAATCTCTTCTTTTTTTAAAATAAATAAAAGAACATTTTAAATTGTACACACACCAATGTACTAGGATTTTACTTATCTATTTCTTTAGCCACTAAGCCAATAGAATACTTTATTATTTTCTTTAATATTTAATGAAACACAACTATTTTAATAAATGTAAAAAAGAAGCGTGGGTCACTTCCTAAATAATATTTTAAAAAATTAAGTTGTTCAGTAGATAATGGTTCACGCGTTATTTTTCAGTTGTTTTTTTTAAATAGTAGTGTATTATTATATATTTAGAGAAAAAAAATGCATTTAGTTCATTATCACATAAAAGCTTATTGATATAATGTTTTATACGAAAAAAAGTGTCAGAAGGCCTACTTTAAAACTTTGAATAGAGTTGCACCGAATATACATGAAAAATGCGCGTATAATATAGATGTAAATAGTACTATATATAATACATTTATTATATATAAAATAACAGTGTTGACTTTTTTTTCTAAACCAAAACCGAAATATCCACCTCAACTTCAAATTTAACCGGAAACGAAAAATATAATTGAAAACTGATTTTTATCTAGAAATGGTATTTTAACAAGATTTAAGATTGATCGGTACAAAGCTAGTGCACATTCATATTAAATATAGTCGTAGTCATACCCGTAAACCTTGCGTATAAGCTTTGACTTGACAAAAGTCGCATTTAGAGTTATTTCAGGCAACGCTTCGGAAGGTTGTGGGGGGAGGGGGGAGACAGAGCCCCTGAAAAAAGTATACCGCCCCCTATAAAGACATAAAACGTATGTATAAAATATACTTTTTATTCAAACTATTGTTATGGACGAGATAAATGGCCAGTTTAGTGAAAAATAAAACGGGCGATAGAGTTGTGGTGTTCTCTATCTCTAATCCAAAGCAAAGTACCACGCTATATGTAAATATTTCCGTATTACTTTATCTAGAATAATTGATCTTTACTCAGTTCCTGCACATTGATACCAAATTGTGTTGTAGTCATACCCCTAAACCTTGCAAAACAATGCATTTACATTTCTCTACGATGGAAGAGTTTCTACCGCCCCCTCGAACGAAACATAATTTAAATTGAATTTTTTAACAATGCATTTGTTATGTTGGTGAGTAAGATGTACAATTAATGATTTCTTTGCTAAATTATGTGTATCAACTATAATTCTATAATTTAAGTTTATGAAACAACATGCTTTATTTTAGTTTTACTACGTTGACTAAAAGAAAAATCACAGTTCTCCTTCTTCTGGTGTGTTTTGCAAATCTCTGAGCTTTATCAGACAGGTCAGTTAGTTAAACTATATTTATTAAAACGATTGAGATAAATTATTTGAAACATCTATATCGATACAGATACTGATAATTATACAGATAACGATATCAATACAGACACAGAGATACAGATCCATATCCATATCCATATCCATATCCATATCCATATCCATATCCATATCCATATCCATATCCATATCCATATCCATATCCATATCCATATCCATATCCATATCCATATCCATATCCATATCCATATCCATATCCATATCCATATCCATATCCATATCCATATCCATATCCATATCCATATCCATATCCATATCCATATCCATATCCATATCCATATCCATATCCATATCCATATCCATATCCATATCCATATCCATATCCATATCCATATCCATATCCATATCCATATCCATATCCATATCCATATCCATATCCATATCCATATCCATATCCATATCCATATCCATATCCATATCCGTATCCGTATCCGTATCCGTATCCGTATCCCTATCCGTATCCGTATCCGTATCCGTATCCGTATCCGTATCCGTATCCGTATCCGAATCCGTATCCGTATCCGTATCCGTATCCGTATCCGTATCCGTATCCGTATCCGTATCCGTATCCGTATCCGTATCCGTATCCGTATCCGTATCCGTATCCGTATCCGTATCCGTATCCGTATCCGTATCCGTATCCGTATCCGTATCCGTATCCGTATCCGTATCCGTATCCGTATCCGTATCCGTATCCGTATCCGTATCCGTATCCGTATCCGTATCCGTATCCATATCCATATCCGTATCCATATCCATATCCATATCCATATCCATATCCATATCCATATCCATATCCATATCCATATCCATATCCATATCCATATCCATATCCATATCCATATCCATATCCATATCCATATCCATATCCATATCCATATCCATATCCATATCCATATCCATATCCATATCCATATCCATATCCATATCCATATCCATATCCATATCCATATCCATATCCATATCCATATCCATATCCATATCCATATCCATATCCATATCCATATCCATATCCATATCCATATCCATATCCATATCCATATCCATATCCATATCCATATCCATATCCATATCCATATCCATATCCATATCCATATCCATATCCATATCCATATCCATATCCATATCCATATCCATATCCATATCCATATCCATATCCATATCCATATCCATATCCATATCCATATCCATATCCATATCCATATCCACATCCATATCCATAATCCATATCCATATCCATATCCATATCCATATTCACATCCACATCCACATCCACATCCACATCCACAGCCACAGCCACAGCCACAGCCACAGCCACAGCCACAGCCACAGCCATATCCATATCCATATCCATATCCATATCCATATCCATATCCATATCCATATCCATATCCATATCCATATCCATATCCATATCCATATCCATATCCATATCCATATCCATATCCATATCCATATCCATATCCATATCCATATCCATATCCATATCCATATCCATATCCATATCCATATCCATATCCATATCCATATCCATATCCATATCCATATCCATATCCATATCCATATCCATATCCATATCCATATCCATATCCATATCCATATCCATATCCATATCCATATCCATATCCATATCCATATCCATATCCATATCCATATCCATATCCATATCCATATCCATATCCATATCCATATCCATATCCATATCCATATCCATATCCATATCCATATCCATATCCATATCCATATCCATATCCATATCCATATCCATATCCATATCCATATCCATATCCATATCCATATCCATATCCATATCCATATCCATATCCATATCCATATCCATATCCATATCCATATCCATATCCATATCCATATCCATATCCATATCCATATCCATATCCATATCCATATCCATATCCATATCCATATCCATATCCATATCCATATCCATATCCATATCCATATCCATATCCATATCCATATCCATATCCATATCCATATCCATATCCATATCCATATCCATATGCATATGCATATGCATATCCATATCCATATCCATATCCATATCCATATCCATATCCATATCCATATCCATATCCATATCCATATCCATATCCATATCCATATCC